ATAGATCTCGGTTCAAAAGATGTATACATCTAACGATATTCTGTCTGAGATGTGGCAATCATACTCGCTTGCTAGCCACTTTCATATGAAACTCTACCATACCATCAAAACCGCTACAAACAGTTTTGAAGCTTAACAGTTAAACTTATCGAGATATGCGTAAGGTGTCCAAACCACATTGCATTTATCCAACAGTTAAACTTATCGAGATATGCGTAAGGTGTCCAAACCACATTTTTATGCATTTATCCATCTGAGACTACTTTTCTGCCTGAGAACATCATAAACGAGAGATTCAGCTGGGTTCCAGGTGAGTATCTCGAAAGAACCAAATTAGTTTGCAGATGAGTGTATATTCGCTAATTTCGTGCAATTTGGTTTCAAGTAAAGCGTAAGGTTGACGGAAACCCGGGGACTGCGCCTACCTGATGAGCCCCCGAAAAACATATTTTACTGATGAAATCACTTAATTAGCCTAATTCAATATGAAGCACTCCCAAGAAGGTATTGTCAGCATTACCACGTAAGACGGGTGTGAACGATTGTTCTCTTGATAGAACCCCTAGCGAACCATGCTCTCCGTGGTTCCTCTTGACCAGACAGTTCTGATAAATGGATCATCGTTCAGAACAAACTGGAAAAAGCGTGTGCAAAATATGTATCCGTTTAGCTAAGATGATATCATTTTAGCTATGGGATAGCGTAGAATGTTATGATATTGACAAATGTAAGTGAATCAACGTCGGTACTAAGCTAGCCTGTTGTTTCATTGAGTTCCTACACAAATTATTCTACAGCTTACCCATATTTTGAGTTGCAAGGATTTTCCTGGACACCTGATCCTTCCTTTCATCGTTTCAGGGTATCGTCATTTCGCCTCTGATATTGACTAATAACAAATGCGTCTACGATATCTCAGTTGGAAGGTTCTGATCCACCAAGAGGTAGTCTCTGTCTTTTGGAAAAGGGAAAAGCTACTCAGCGAAGTCCTCGGAATAGCACCAGATTGTAGTTACACGGGCTGCCCAAAAGACGTGAACTGCATTCACCTGTAAACTGACGGTCATTTATAGAGTTGTGGGCCTTTTTTTGCAATGGGTTGCACAAGTCCCGTTCGCTTTACATACAGTTGTTGCCTTGGCCCCCGATGAGAGCCTCAACTACTTGTACGTTGGTTGCTTTATATTCCGTCTGACTATCAGCCCGTGGAGGTTAAGGCTTTCTCCTTCATCGTGGGGAAAATACCTAGACATTGCGAAATTATCTGAATCACCGAAATATACTCACCAAAGGCTTCGCTAAGGTAACCAAGGAGCACTGGTCAAATATACGCTAAGTTCAAGTGTCCCAGCCATCCAACTATATTAAGGACTTGATTGACATCCAATCATGTCACTTTCCCACCGGGAGAGAATCAGAATAGCCATTCATTGGGCCGACATTATAAATGTCATCGTAATTCTTGTTACAAGGTTCCGAACAGCCACCAGTATGGCTTGGATGACTGTTTTGGGTATCCATACTGCATTTTCGGGTCATATACTGATGACTATTTACTTTCCCGAAACCAGTAGAGGTCTCGCACAGGTAGGTTCGCTGAATGAAAATTTTCGGCGTTTTTGAATTATTTTACGGATGTGACATCAAGCTGG